ACCGAACTCTAATGCCTCTCTCCGTTACAGGCCCTGCCCTGCTCCTAGAATTTATGGGCGACGCTTTTTGGCGCTGTATGTGCATGCCGGTGACGGGAGACTCCCAACGCATCCCCGGCGAACTCTAACGCTGTGCCGTTGCTGTTGACAGGTGCTGGGCCCGGGGTGCCGAGCAAGCTTCAGGTGTCCGCCTGCAGTTCTCTTTTGATGGCGCCATCCCGCAAAAAAGACTTGAAGAGCGACGGCGAAGACCTGGAGGCGAAAGAAGAGCCTCTAGGGCTGGTTATCGGTGGCTGCTACTCGCTCCGCGCCCACAACCTGCGCGAGACCGCAGAGGACAGCGGGGGCTGTGACGGAGAGGTCGACTTCATTGGGTGTGCTCAGGACCAGCGTCGGCGGCCTTCGGGCGGCGAGGAGGACCTCCCAGAGGGCAGCGAAGGCCGTGACAAAGCGGTAGCGAAGTGTGTTACTGTCTCTATGCCGGGTGTGAGGTTTAAAGTCGATGAGGGGGGTGGAGAGTGGCCTCAGGACAGTGATAAGAAAAACAAGACTAGGCGCATCAAGACAATTCGTGTAAAGTGTAATACGGGTGCTGGCCTACAAAAGCTACCGCGAGGTAACGTAAAACTGTACAACTGTACAATCTGCGGTTTTACCTGCCATTTTAAATCAAAGCTCGTGAGGCACCTCCGTGTGCATACCGGTGAGAAACCATACCAGTGTTACATCTGTAAGGAGCGATTTGCTGTAAACTATACGCTAACTACGCACATCCGAACGCACACCGGTGAGAAACCATTTAAGTGTAATATCTGTAAGGAGCGATTTGCCCAGAAGAGTCCTCTTACTCGCCATATGCGAACACACACTGGTGAAAAACCATATAAGTGTAATATCTGTAAGGAGCGGTTTGCCCAAAAGAGTTCTCTAATTCTGCACATCCGAACGCACACCGGTGAGAAACCATATAAGTGTAATATCTGTAAGGAGCGATTTGCCCAAAAGAGTCCTCTTACTCGCCATATGCGAACACACACTGGTGAAAAACCATATCAGTGTAATATCTGTAAGGAGCGGTTTGCCCAAAAGAGTTCTCTAATTCTGCACATGCGAACACACACTGGTGAGAAGCCATTTAAGTGTGACATCTGCAAACAACTCTTTGCAAGAGAAGATCATCTAAAAAAACACATAACTTCTCACATTGTTTGAAATCGCACAAAATAACCGACATTACAACAGTAATTTCACAACAAGGGTGGGCTGTATATTTTATTATTCTTTGAAATACCGGAACCTCGTGTATTATTCCATTGTTTATGTAATTGTTAGGCATTGCCTACTGTCAAATTTGCTCAACGGCATTTACTTCAAATATATTTTTTTACAACGTTTCCTCAATTGTTTTGTCTTTTTAGTATGAAACATAGATTGGCCAATAATGTTGTCTCACCTTTATCTAGTATCTTAATCAAGACGTTCTCAAACATTGAAAACAACATACCTTTCTAGAGTGTATAAACACTAATGCCTTTCTCCGTTACAGACCGTGCCGTGCTCCTAAAACTGATAGTCGCCTGCTTGAGTCAAGCAGCGCGCTGCATTCCTGTCGGTGACGGGGGTGAATCCCCCCCCACGCATCCCAGGCGAGCTCTAACGGTCGGAGGTGACCGGCGGCGGCACCCCAGGCCCAGCGGCACCCCAGGCCCAGTACCTGTAGACTACAAGGGCGAGGTCCTGGAGGTGGGAGAAAAACTTGTGGGGTTTGTTGTCAGCGGCTGCTGCTACTCGATCGGCATATGCGAACACACACCATGGAGAACTGCAGTTCTCATAACGTTTGAATCGTAGAAAATTATCTCTTGTACAAAAGCCATTTCATTAATGTGGTAGGCCATTATATAATAAGAGGTTATTGTTTGAAATACCAGGACCTCGTGTATTACAATCATTGTTCCTAAATCCGGACGATCTTTGAAGGAAATCGCCTGGATCTCCTGTAATTTTTGAAATATGAAAAATCGCTGGGGATTCTAGAATTTGCACGTCGAGACCCATCTATCATTCTTGGAAAATATTTTTTCGCATTATCGGTATAGGGGTGAGGGCTGTTTGAATCGTGTCCGTATTTAGGAACCAATGCGTCCTAAATTCGGACAGCTTTGAAAAATTATAAAAAGTGAATTTTTTTAGGGGGTATAGAAACTTCATGAAAAAATTTTACCTTACCCTACCGTCCAAATTTTCTTATCCGGTATAGTTTAGTCGCCAGAACTGCTTAAAGATCGCTTTTAACGTGCCCTAAATTCTGACAGTAGTCACTTTTGCATGTAAAAGCCTATGTCCGAATTTAGGGCGCATTGCAAAAACGCCTCCCAAAACTAAACCGTGGGAAGAAAAATCAAAAACTTGGTGTCATACTGTAGACAAAAGTACAAACTTTCACATATGTTGTGGTCAGAATGAACCGAGCTTCCACCGTTCAGAGCCCTGAGTTCTGGCAAGACACATTTAAAAACGCCTAATTTTTAAAACTAAAAATACAAATTTCAGGAATTCCTGGAGGAAGCAATATCAATCACACATTAATTTTTTAGGTAGAAATGGAAACTTGGTGGTCTTACCTTTCCAGCAAACCCATCGAAGTTTAAGTTTGTCGACGCATTCTGGATTTGGAGGAGATAATAGTGAAATACAGCACATTGTCCGACTTTAGGGCGCAAGTCCGAATTTAGGAACAATGATGTACTGTGTTTATATAATTGTTAGGCATTGCCAATTGTATAATTTGCTTACACGGTAAAAACAATGTCTCATTTTTTGAGGAAAAAGGGAAAACTTTGAGGAACTGCCATGTTTGAGGAAGAGTCCTCCGATCTCGCCTCAGATTTTGAGGAATATTCTCAAGAAATGAGGAAAAATTCCACATTCTTCGAGGAGGCTTCCTCCAAATCTAAGGAGTTTTTGTCAAACCAGGGGAGTTCCTCAAAGTTTTCCCTTTTCCCT